CTTTCTCTTCAGTCGACACGTCCCGACCATTACTAACCCCCGCTGCAGCTGTGGAGAGAGGCGGCAGACCGTCGCCCACGTCCTCCTCCGCTGCAGCAAGTATAAGGACCTCCGGAACCGTATTTTCGCCAACCTGTCCGGACGGAATAGTCTCAGGACTATCCTGAGCACGCCGCAGCTAGCCACCAAAGCTATCGAATATATGGAACAGACGCAGATCCTTGGGCAAGTGGGGATCAGAGATGAGTAGACGACGCCGAGCGCTGGGGGGAGACGGTAGGTACAGCGGACGCGACAGACGAGGCAGCGAGCCTCTACGAGCCTAGAAACATAGCATGCAATTAGTAGAACCGCTATCTAGATGGCCGGCCAAAGCATATAGATGGTGGTTGATGGAAGACGGCAGGTTGCTGGGGACAGATGGTCTCTCTCAAGGGATGAAGTGGGGCGGCGCGGATCAACGTCCGCACCGCGTCCGCTGTCTGCCACGCCTGTCACTCCGGGCATAGCTGCGCAGCACGCGGCTGAAACCGAGTAGGAGTCAATAAATAAATAAATAAATAAATAAGATCACTCAGGATGCAAATAGGAGATAATGCGACAGGCTTGTCATCTACAAAACTGTTCCTAAAAAATCACGAACCAACCCAACAAGATCTTACTTCCCCAAATACCCCCTTACCCTAGTGACATATTCAGATACGCCAGAGAGACTGCTGTGCGCGCTCCCAGTGGTCCCGATCCCGAATGTAGCGGGGGTTCTGCGCTACAATGGAGCAGGGGAGGAAGCGCGATTGATCAATGTCATATACTACGCTACCGCTGACGCCCTGTAAAGCGCTCTCAATAGCAACCTCGCACATGGTATGGCAGTTGCCTCCCCAGTGGCCAGCGATTGCTTCCCGAACCCATTTCTGCTCCAGCTGTTGCTTGAGTTCCAACGTCTTGGTCTCAAGCGTAGCAATCTCGAGATGGCGAAGTGCGTCCATGATGATCGCAGCGGCTGGTGCTTCACGAATCTCCAGAGCCTTATCATCCGTTGACAGAGGCTCGAGTCCGACAAATCGACCAAGACCAAACTTGCCAACTTCTCTGTTGAGGAACGCGATGGCATCGATGAGTGGGAATTTGTCGCCATCCACTGACACGAGATTTCCATTCTCGAACCGAAGTGTGAGCTTCTGAGGTGGGTGATCCTCATGTCGTCGGGTCCATTGGTAAGCATCCTCTGGAATGCAGAAGCCTTCTGGGTCACCCAGAGGACCATCTTCAAATTCACGGCACCAGAGATTCTCGTCGCCACTGAGCTTACGTTCAGACATGATAGTCAGTCCGGCCACACTGAGTTCTTCCGCTTTCTTCTCTCGCGAGACGACGGAGTGTGGGTATGGGCTGCCAAACTGTCCAGGGAAGCCAAGACGACGAATGCAGTTGTTGAGCCTAGGCAGACTGTTCTGTGATAGATTGGCTGTATGAAGCAGCAAACCTGCACTGACCTCTTTGGCGTAGTCTGTGATGAGGCGCGCGATGACGGGACGGGTAAGGGAGCTGCTGACGGGGAAGAGGCCCAGATACATGGCATGGGCGCGGATAGCGGGCATGACACCTTCTTTGACAAATGCCTCGCGGCCGTCAAGAAGCTTGAACTTGGCACCAAAATGGGCGGCGTGCTTGGTAAGACTCTCCACCTCAACCGGCGCTCCGACATCGACTGCTACGGCATGAATGTTCGTAAAACCGAGCTGTTGAAGACGGAGGAGCAGATAAGTGCTGTCCAAACCGCCGCTGAACATGGTTACGACAGGCGCATCTCTGGTCTCGAACCTTGCAAGCTGCTCAAAACTCTCAATGGGCTTGGTTTCCTTTGGGAGGGCGTCATTGACACCATTGAATTTTAGGCCCTACGCGTGTTAACATGCAGGTCAAAGGACATTGTAGCCTTTACACACCATGGTTGCAATTGCAAGAAATCGACGGAGGGAATAAAAGATAAGTTGCTTTATGAGATGAGTGCTAGAAATCGGATTGCAACTATCAAATAATGAGTGAAGATTGAATCCAGTATCAAGTTGGTTTGCCAGACTTTATACCTTGCGAGTGCCATACATGCCCTTGGCAAACTATTGCTATGTCCGTCCACTCTTCAACTGACCCTTAGCCGATATCGCCAACCGGCGCTACAAGCCGTGATACTGGAGGACCTGCATCCATTCGAGAGAATGTCGCAAGGGTGTAGCTGCAGGGCTCAGCTGCGCTTTGGAAGCAGTTCACCGCTAACAGAGGTTACAGTCTGCCGTTACAAAGAAACATACAGCTGTAACTAAAGTCTTTCAAAACAGATGATCAAATCCGACGCTAGGAAAGACTACCTACTGTGCCAGTTCAGCCGCACGGGTCGGGGCATACTACTGTATCTGGACTGGATCTTTCACCGGTATGCACTTCCTCGAGACGATACCCTCAGAATCGCCTTCCCATGGTAGCAATAGGATGCACGTGGGGCGCTGCTACAAAGCGGTTCATGTGTTGTACTGCGTTTCTTCATCAGCGTGTCTAAAACGATAGACAAAGGCGTGCCACTAGCATGGCTCGGTACTGAACTACTACCCGCCTAAATTTGGGATCTAGATCCATCGGCTGCACAACTAATCCTTCCCCAGATCTACAGCAGCGGGACGCGTCAGCCGTTACAAGTAAGAGTTCATGCAGAAAGTGTGCCCTGCGTCTATGGGCTCACCCTTGGCGTTGTGTACAGGTATGCTAGTGGCCGGGTAATATCAACTGTTCCCCCACCAATCACGAGCATCGACACCATACAACGCTCTGACTAACTAGGATAGTACGACAAATTGCACCATTCCTGCATACGAATCATGAAGGACGCCTGAAAGGATCTGGAATATGCGGCATATGGCCAGCATTGTACCACGGTGGACCACAATCAGCAATAGCCCATATGGAGTTTAGTGCTGGTAACACAAGGAGTACTTGCCTGCTGTATACACGTTTTGACCTAGATCCTTTTTCGAACCCTGTGCATATGCTAACTTGGCCTTTGCGAGGCATGCATTGAGTAACAATCATTGTAACGTGCACGACACTGGCTCCACTTGCCCTACTGTCAGACGATCATTCTTCACCGCAGCTCAACGGTATCAGCAGACCGGCCAAGGCCGACAATAGCACACTTCAGACCAACCTCAACCTCTACATCTTTGCTACGATGGGGCTCCCCGACATCGGCAGTTGCTTCGAAGACGGTGAGGATTTGCTCAGCTGTAGTAGCGCTTCAGGAAACACTACTGTGTCCTTTTCCGCAGACCGTTTTGGCAATTTCCCTAGCTTAGTGGTGTAACATGTCGAGATCAGGAGCGTCTAGCGCGTGGCAATACTCACTATCCCAATGCTTCACTGCGGTGACTTTGGTTCAACAAAGAGAAATGCGACTATGAAGAGGGGACGCCTGACGAAGGATCCCAAGGCAATGTGAACTCTTGCTGCCAGTCTAATAGGATATAAGATTCACTGAAGCCGCAGCTATCTCGACATCCAACTCATTTCAACATCAACTTCTCTACCGAGCATCTTTACTATCTCATTTCTCTCTCACAATGGCTATCAGCGAGTCCATCATCGTTTCCAAATCTTTGCCTACTATTCACCTCGATCTCCTTCGAGCCAACGATACTCAGGAGAGCAAGAACTTGCTCAATGCTTGCAGAAGCCATGGGTTCTTCTATCTCGATCTGAATAGCGACCCTGAGCTATGCAATCTATGGAAGAAGATGCTCCAGAACATTGCGCAATACTTCAACCAGCCTCTTGATATCAAGATGCGCGATGCTCGTGGCAGTGACAACTTTGGGTAAGCATATACCGAGATGATAGCGATCTGGTCTCGATACAGACACTGACCTTCTTTCCAGCTACGAGCCCATGGGCACCGAAGCAGGCCCCAACCCAAAGACTAGAGACGGCTACGAATCTCTCAAGGTACAACATAGCCCATCGTAGCACCCAAATCCAGACTGAGCTAATCCATCCAGTTCTCCCGCCGAGAATTTCTCAAAGGATCCTCAGACCTCACCACCTCCATCCGTGCAAAGGAAGATTGCTTCTTCTCCTTCATCGACCACGCGCACACCATCACCCTGATGATCCTCTCTCGCCTCTCCACACAGCTAGGCCTAACCGGTGCCTCCCGCTTCGAGGCTCACCACGCGGACCCGGGCCCGTCCCTCTCAACCCTAGGCCTGCTCCGCTACCCCAAGCACGAAAAGGCGAGCGCCACCGAGCCCTTGAACGTCGGCCACAACAAGCACACCGACGTCGGCACCCTGACTTTCTTGCTCGCCGCCCAGTGGGGTCTCCAGTACCTCTCGCTTACGAGCCGCCGCTGGGAATTCATCGAGCCGCGGGCCGGCCACGCTATCATCAATGTAGGAGATAGTCTCCGCTTCCTCTCAGGCGGCAAGCTAGCTAGCGTCGTTCACCGCGTTGTGCCCCTGCACAAGACGCAGCTTGAGGACCGCTACAGCATGGCTTACTTCCTCCGTATGAATGATGGGGGTATCTTCAATGATACGTCCAGCAAGAAGTGGACCGCGAAGGAGTGGCACGATTTCAAGTTTGGTGTCTTCAAGGATCCCAATACGCTAGATGCTGAGGGTCGCTTTCTTACGGGCATGATGATTGAGGAGTCAGAGGGCCCGATTTTGGTTTCGCCGTAGAGAACTTGACTTTGAGCGTACGTACTGTGTGTGGGGAACAGGATCCGGAATTGTGGGCGTTTTTTTCTCGGCGGGTCGCCTAAAGAATGTGGGGGTTTTGCCATGGTTTCCTTATTGTGTTGGGGTTTTCTTTGATAATCGGGTATTGTATGGTACTCGATTAGATATTTGCCTTATTATTTGTCAGAGCATCAAAAATACATTCCTTATTTGAATACTTCTTCGCATTTGTCTGTTTGTGTGGTCAAGTGATGGTGGTTGCTTATTACAGTGGGGTGACAAAAAAAAAACGTAGTAAAAAAAGTTATTATTTTTAAAAGATAATTACTCAGCAGCTATAGTGGCTATAGATATAAAAGTTAGTGCGTTTTAAAGCTAAGATCTTCTAGTCTTTTACATAGGTGTCACGTGACATTCTACTGCAGCTTTAGGTAGATCTATAATAACTTAAATACTTGGAAAAATTCTAAAAGATTTTGAACTTTTAGAACTCTATAGTAGATAGAGCTATATAGCTAATAGTTATATATATAGTAGTAGTAGATATATAGATCACGTGATAATGGTCTTAGCTACTCTAGCTTATATATATAATAGATTCTTAATACATCTAGTACTTAGCCTATACTTACATAAGCGGTATATTAGTCAGCAATCAGTCAGAATATCATATATATATCACTCTTTTGATCCTTAGTCTCTTAGATC